GTGGGAGCAGGTAGGGTGCTGGAGGTAGGCGCTGGCTGGGAGGGGCTTCACTAAACTTCCAGCCCTGTGAGACACTTTTGTCTTTCCCCCTCCCTTTATTGTGGACAAAGAGCCAGTGTGAACTTTGCTGTTTATTTTGCCGAGCGAACTGGCTTCTGCCAGCGTCCCACAATGCCTGCCCTAGTGGCTCCGCTCAGTGCTTTGTGATCTCTGCTGCCCTGCAGGCCTGCACCCCTCCCCCTTCAAAGCTCTGGAAAGTATCTGACAGCTGAGTGAGCTGCTCTGTTTGGGGAACAAACAAAGAGCAAATCATTGGAGTGCTCCTGTTCTGCCCTGCTAGGAACCCAGCGGCAGGCAGGCTGCTGCTGCAGGGGGAGGGCTGGAGAGAGACGGCTCTGCTGCTCTGACATTCCTCAGCCCAGACAGCTCCCAGAGATCAGCGCAGGGATCAGCTCTGTCTTTCCACCACATTGCACTGTGGGATGCTTACCCACAATGCTTTGCTCTGCTGCCAGGGGAGCTAGCAATGTGGCCATGAACTGTCGACAAGGCAGGGGGGCGCAGGGACTGGTTTGACCAGTTTTCACTTTTGACAACCTTTGCCCATTGACAGCACTTTTGTCACTAAACCTTCCCCGTGTAGACACCAGACACGTGCAGCGAAGGTCAGAAACGACTCTGAAGACCAGTCCTACTGCAAAGCAACACCTCATTCGTCAGCCTGTGGCACGGGTGGGAAACCTCAGGCTCTCCTTTGTCCCTGAAAAATACCCCGAGGGTGCAGATAATCTAGCTCCGTGTTCCTTTGGGCCTGATCAAACATCCATTGACTTTATAAGCCAGGGGTGGGGAACCTAAGGCCCAGGAGCTGGATGCAGCCTCTGGCATACCTGGATTCAGCCCCTGAGGCTCAGGGGTCCCCCCAACATTGGGGAGCCCACGCTGACACTCCAGCCCTCCCATTGCCCTACCACAGAGCTGGGAGCACACAGTCTACTTGCCTGGGCCCCCCAGGCTCTGCTGTGTGAGGGGAATGTGGGAAGTGTCTTCTCCTCAGTTGGGGGCCACGTCAGGGTTTTTGCTTCTCGCTTGTGTGCTGCCCCTGACTGCTTTTTCTGTGGGTCAGCAGCCCCCAACCCAAACAAGTTTCCCCAGCCCTGCTGTGGCAGGTCACTGGCGTGTTCTTGGTGTGGTTCCAGTCTTCAGCCCCTGTGTTTCCTAGTAGCCACGCGAGAACGGAGAGTGAGTCACTTGCCAGTGCATTGCCCATGAGGGGAACTCTGACCACGCAACAGCTTGTCAAATACCGGGGAGCTCACGTTGCAGAGAGATGCAATCCACGGAATCCTTAGCTACCCGTGTCCGCCTCCCCAGCACCAGCTAGTCTGCTCAATCTTCATGAAAGCACTGAAGAGACAAACAAGCGCGCATATCCCCAGTGAATGCTACTCCTAAGGGTTCACCATGCCCTGCTCCGCTGTTGCAAGCAGCCCTCTCTGAGGAGTTCAGTCCAGTAACCTGTCAAAGGGCTCGTTCCTAGAAGGCAAGGCCTTGGGTGTGAAACAAAAAACAGGACTATGTAGCACTTTAAAGCCTAACTAGATGGTTTATTAGGTGATGAGCTTTCGTGGGCCAGACCCACTTCCTCAGATCAAATAGAGGAAGAAAATTGTCACAACCATAGACACCAAAGGATACAATTAAAAAAAATGAACACACATGAAAAGGACAAATTATCACCTCTAATATCATTAGCTCACAGACATTTCCCTACCCCCTCATCCCCCCTTCTGTTCTGAAATTTGATTTGTCCTTTTCATATGTGTTCATTTTTTTTAATTGTATCCTTTGGTATATATGGTTGTGACAATTTTCTTCCACTATTTGATCTGAGGAAGTGGGTCTGGCCCACGAAAGCTCATCACCTAATAAACCATCTTGTTAGTCTTTAAAGTGCTACACAGTCCTGTTTTTTGTTTCAGCTGCACCAGACTAACACGGCTACATTTCTACCACCATTGGGTGTGAAAGTTATTGGTGGAAACTACCAGAGAGCAGACATCTGGGCATTCTACCAGGCCGTTCGCACACCCGGTGTTCTGTGCCCTGGAGCATGAATGGGAGCTAACCAAGTACCAAGGCCTGTGGAGAGCAGAGTCTGCCTCATACTTACCCAGGGGGACCTCATCACCAGGACACATTCTCCAGGGAGACCCAGAATGATGGCTAACTAGGAGTTTTGTTTAGTGCCAACATTTTCCATTCTGCTTCTGCCTTGCTCATGGGGCCAGAAAGGAGAAGTCAGCCATCTCGTAGTGCTGTGTGGGCCTAGTGATCAGCGTTCGCCCATTCTGCCTACCGCAGCCTTGTCCTACAATTGGGGAGTGCGGAGGGAAAATCCTAAAACAAAACTGAAATGGATTAAATTGTCATAGCCAAACTAAAATGGGTGGCATACACACCCAGGAGTAAAACTGGGATAGAAATCCCCCTTGAAGCTCGGTATGTGCTGCTGCATGGTATGTTGTGTGGCCAGGGTCTCTTCGGCTTTTGTGGAGATCAGTAAACCCCCCTTTAAAAAGAACCGTTTTCTTGTTCTCTGAAAACATCCACTCCGTGTGCAGCGGCAGTCAAAAAAGCAAACAATGTTAGGAATCATTTAAAAAGGGATAGAGAATAAGACAGAGAACATCTTATTGCCTCTATGTAAAACCATGGTACGCCCTCATCTTGAATACTGCCTACAGATGTGGTCGCCTCATCTCAAAAAAGATACGTTGGCAAGGGAAAAGGTTCAGAAAAGGGCAACAAAAATGATTAGGGGCTTGGAACTTCTCTTTATGAAGAGAAATTAATAAGACTGGGACTTTTCAGTTTAGAAAAGAAGGGACTAAGGGGAGATAGGAGAGAGGTTTATACAGTCATGACTCATGAGGGGAAAGCAAATAAGGAAAAAATATTTACTTGCTCCCATAACAGTAGAGCTAGTGGTCACCAAATGAAATGAATAGGCAGCAGGTTTAAAACAAAAGGAAGTTTTTTTTTCATGCAGTGCACAGGCAACCTGTGGAACTCCTTGCCAGAGGATGTTGTGAAGACCGGGACTTTTAACAGAGTTCAAAAACGAACTAGATAAATTCATGGAGGTTAGGTCCATCAATATTTATTAGCCAGGCTGGGTAGGGATGGTGTTCCTGGCCTCTGTTTGTCAAAGGCTGGAAGTGGATGACCGGAGAGGGATCACTTGATGGTTACCTGTTTCTGTTCACTGGGCAGACAGGACACTGGGCGAGATGGACCTTTGGTCTGACCCAGTCTGGCTGTTTTTATGTTCTTGTTCTCTCAGGAGCTGGCAGCCAATGGTTTATCTGTGTTAAATGAGCATTCCTCTGTTTTCTCACCTAGCCCTTAGTCCCATTCTCATTGCTGAGGAGCCAGGCTTAATGTCCACTGCCCTTTGCTGGAGAGGGTTATAGTTTGTCCCTGAAAAACACCCTGAGGGTAGAGTTAATCTAGCTCCGTGTTCATTTGAGCCTGATCAAAAGCCCATTGACTTTATAAGACAGGGTGGGGAACCTTAAGCCCGGGAGCTGGATGCGGCCCCCAAGGCTCAGGGTCCACCCCCAGGATTGGGGAACCTGCGCTGGTGATCCAGCCCTCCTGCTGCCCCACCGCAGGGCTGGAGCACACAATCAACTTGCCTGGGCCCCCTAGGCTCTGGTGTGAGAGGGGAATGTGAGGAGCGTCTTCCTGCTTCTCAGTCTGTGAGGATTTGTCTGGTTTTTTTGCTTCTCACTTGCGTGTGGCTCCCAATTGATTTCCCCCCCCCAAAAAAAAAAAAAGTCACCCACCCCAGATAAGCAGATCTGCACAGGGCCATCCCCAAGGGATGTTTTTTTAAATCCCTAACCCAGTGATTCCCAACCTTTTCCCATGGAGGAACCCCTAAAATAATTGTTCATATCCCGAGGAACCCCTACCTATGAAAACATTTGCTGGGCCAGAAGAAGTTGACAGCGGGGAGCGCAATTCAATTACCGCTAAATTATTGTCAAGAAAATGTAAATGTATTTGTAAAGAGCTGTTAGATGTCAGCTTACATTGTAAGGAAAAAAAATATTTTATTTATTTATTCCACAATTTCTCGCGGAACCACTGATGATGCTCTGCAGAACCCTAGGGTCCCGCAGAACCCTGATTGGGAAACACTGCCCTAACCCATTGGGAATGCGAAAATAAAAGTGCTTCCGAAGCACGTTGGCCATGGAAGCCCCGGGCCAAGTCCCCTCTGGCAGGGGCTGCAGTATCCCTGTTCCAAAGAGGGCAGTAACTGTGCTCGAGACAGACACATTGCCCCACCCCCACTATTCATTTGCAAGCAGAATTTTAAAAGGGACTCCTGGCCACCCCTGCCAGCACGTTACTGACCGGTGGCAGAGCGAGGGCAAACGAACACCAGGCTCCCAGCCTGGAGAGCAGTGTTCCCGAGAGTGATGCCCAATTTCCTGCTACGCTGGATTAGCCAGGTGGCAGTGGGCCCGGTGTGCCCCACCAGCGCTGGGCAGCAGGGCCAGCGTAAAGCCTGACGCCCGCAAAACACCATGTGAGAAAATGGCAACGAATTGCTGAGCGGCTCAAAATCTGTGGAATCGGCCGTGTCCTTGTGGAGCTGTCTTGGCTCGTGTCCCACACGTTGAGACAGCCAAGCAAAATCAGTTGATGGCCTCTCAAAGTCACCTAGCCAGACGTGGCTCCAGGTCATGCCTTCCTAAAAACCTTTCAGGCTGTTTCCATTGTTTAATAAGAATATCTTTTTCATAAGGTTAGTTTGTAACTAAAAAACAACGAGTAGTCCAGTGGCACCTTAGAGACTAACAAAACTAGATAGGATCATGGGCTTTGCCCACGAAAGCTCATGATCCTATCTAGTTTTGTTAGTCTCTAAGGTGCCACTGGACTACTCGTTGTTTTTTAGTTACAAACTAACATGGTGCCCCTTCTGGAGAATTTTTGATCAGAAGAGGCTTTTCTCCGAAGCAGATGAAATTAACGAGGCCTTCCTTCTCTTTTGAATTCTCCCAGATGACGGGATTGTGATCAAAACTGAGGAAGAGGAGGATCCGGACACCCTGGAGCCATATGCCATGTTCTCCGGTAGAGCAGAGCAGCCGCTTTTCCAGAATCACGACTCGGGGACAACCTGCGAGGCCCATTGCAGTTCCAAAATGCAACCGAGAAACCCAGTCGGAACCAGGCCGGGGCAGTCTGCTCCCTGCGAAAGAGACTCCGGTGAAATGAAGACGGTCATTGTCCACCAGAGAAACCGCACCAGGGAAAGACCTTACCTCTGCCCGGAGTGTGGGAAAAGCTTCATGCTGAAGATCAACTTTATAATTCACCAGCGGAACCACCTCAAAGAGGGGCCCTATGAATGCCATGAGTGCGATTTAAGCTTCAGGATCAAGCAGCAGTTTCTCCTGCACCAGCGCAGCCACACGCGAAGGGGGGTCGGCCCGCCCCGGCGGGTGGAGAACTTCCGAGACAAGCACAGCCTCAAGCCAGAGCCAAGAACGCCTCCGGCGGGGAAACCCTACAAATGCTCTGAGTGCGAGAGCAGCTTCAGCCACAAGTCAAGCCTCAGCAAACACCAGATCACGCACGTGGGGGATCGGCCATACACGTGCAGCGAGTGCCGGAAGAGCTTCCGCCTGCAGATCAGCCTCATCATGCACCAGAGGATCCACACTGGGAAGAGCGAGATGTCCTTCATATGCCCTCAGTGTGGGAAGAACTTTAGCCGCCCCTCCCATCTCCTCCGGCACCAGAGGACTCACACGGGGGAACGGCCCTACAAATGCACCCAGTGCGAGAAGACGTTCAGCGAGAAGTCCAAGCTCACCAACCACTACCGCATCCACACGCGGGAGCGGCCGCACGCCTGCACCGAGTGCGGCAAAGGCTTCATCCGCAAGCACCACCTGCTGGAGCACCAGCGCATACACACTGGCGAGCGGCCCTACCACTGCGCCGAGTGCGGCAAGAACTTCACGCAGAAGCACCACCTGCTGGAGCACCAGCGGGCGCACACCGGCGAGAGGCCCTATCCCTGCACGGAATGCACCAAGTGCTTCCGCTATAAACAGTCCCTGAAGTACCACTTGAGGACGCACACGGGGGAGTAGGGGCCAGTGGGCGCTGCATCCCGCCTGGGCATTTGAGCCAGGAGTCTGTGTGGATGGAAGCCGTGGCGCAACGCTGCGTAGGGACTGGTAATGTGATTTAAAGCAAATAACAGGCAGTACCATTGAACAGAACCGAAAAAGCTAATTTAGGGTAAATATTCATACTGTACAGGATATTTTGCTGATGTAGGACTCTAACTGCTTTTTAAATATTCCTTTTGATAATAAATGTGGAGTAACTTTTATTTCATAAGCAAATTTAAGATTTCAGGGTTTTTTTAAATACGTAATTTGACATGGTACATTGTCTCTTTAATCTGGGAAACCCCAACATGGTTTACATGCCCCATCTGGGGATTGTGGCCCCAGATATAGCTGGCGGAACATGGCATCTCTTTAACCGTGTACAGCAAGGGTCTGAGCTCCAGTCCCGGTCGAGATGATTAGTACCGTGCCACAAACACGCCACCAGGAATTGTGTGTGGGTGATTTAGAGGTAAAACAATACAGTGTGGTTCGCCCCCCCAGCACAGTCGTTAAACATACAATAGGGTGAAATTTCAGTCACATTAAAAGTTCCGGCTGGACAGAGCCCTGGCTGGGATGATTGAGTTGGGGTGGGTCCTGCTTTGGGCAGGGGGCTGGACTCGATGAGTCCTGAGGTCTCTGCCAGCCCTGGGATTCAATTAAAATAGTCCTTCCCCATGGAAGCCAGCCAGCTGCCTCTCTATCGTTCTGGGAGAGTGAAACGGCGTAATTAAAGTGGAAATGTGTCAGGCTGACTGATGTAAACCCCCCTGTTCTTGTGATGAAACAGATCTCCTCTCTCCCCATCTGTCTCCCTAGTGGAAATGTGTCAGGCTGACTGATGTAAACCCCCCCGTTCTTGTGATGAAACAGATCTCCTTTCTCCTCATCTGTCTCCCGGCATAGGCATAATGCCCAGTCTCATTTCAAATGACCCCAATGGTGATGTTTCCATGGCATCCCTTGGTGACCTGTTCTCAGCCGACCCATCTCAGTGTTAGAAAGTTTGCAGACATACGCTAACTCTCCCATGGGCTTTCTTACGGAGTGTAAGTATTCAGGGCCTGGGGTTTCTGTTTCACCCCAAGGAGTACTGCTCTCTCATGCTGCACTGGGGCGTGAGGCCCAGGAGGGGAGAGAGGGGCTGGGAGAACATTGATGGGTGTTGTGGGCAGCCCTCCCATCTCTAGTGTCTCCCCAGGGTTCAAACAGATGTAGAGCCAGGTGCTGGTTTCCCTGGGCCGTGTCCTTCTCTGGTGTGAATGGAACAGATCAGCTGTAGCACAGAGTGGTGGGGTGGAAGAGACGGCTGAATCCCTTGCGACCCAGGGACAGGATGAAAATAGGAAGAAAACCTTTGGTTGGGCTTTGCTAAGGCTGGCGGTGCCCAGGTCAGTTGGTGTTTACCAGGGATCCCTTGAATCCCAATTAGTCAGGGACTGAATTTCATTTTAGTGACCTTGCAGAGAGGGGGATCCAGCCTTGAACCGTGGGATTCCTCGTTCTCCCCAGGACCTCTTTCTGAATTCCTCACAGCTCCGTGACTGTTCCAGTTCTGTCATGTCACGATTCTCACCATTCCAACCATTAGCGGCCTCACAATGCGCTGTATTGACCTGAGCCACGGGAGACATGTCTAGAGACACGTGAGCCGAAAAGTCGGACAGTCCTCTCCTAGGGGCCAAGGTCGAATCCTATTGGATGAGACTCTCAGGCCAGCAGGGGGATGAGTTGAGCGTCACCAATGCCAGCGCCTTATTCTGGCCTCCCCCGTGTGGAATAATCGCGCCCAGTGGGACATAGCCCACAAGCCACGGCCTTTGGGTGGTTTTACGTTGCTAATGTGTTTTTCAGAGGCTATGTCCAGACTCAGGGGTTTTTTCGAAAAAAGTAGCCTTTTTCGAAAAAACTTCCCCTGCGTCCAGACTCAAGCCGCGTTCTTTCGAAATTAATTCGAAAGAACGCAGCTTTTCTTTCGATGGCGGTAAACCTCAATTTACGAGGAAGAACGCCTTCTTTCGAAAGTTCCTCTTTCGAAAGAAGGCGTTCTTCAATGTAAATAGGGCTTCTTCGAAAGAGAGCATCCAGACTCACTGGATGCTTTCTTTCGAAAAAGCAAGCCGCTTTTTCGAAATTTCTCCGTGCAGTCTAGACGCTCTCTTTCGAAAGAGGCTTGCAGTCTAGACATAGCCAGACTAACTTATGTGCTAGGTGCAAATAAGCATCTCATGATAGGACTGACTGTACTGTTTACATAAAATGTCATGTATTAGCTAGCTATGCACTGCATCTATCGTAGGCACGTATGTGGTGCCGTTTGGCGCCGTACAGGACGTCCCCGCTATAAGTCGCCCCAGGATACATCTATTCCGCACTAACGTCATTGATGCTTATAGGAATGGATGCGTTATAAGTCCCCCCATTCCCCACTCTTAAGTCGCACGCGGAAAAAAAAATTGCGCAAATAGAAGTCAGCCACCGGGGGGAAAAAATCCCCGATTTAAGTTGTTTCACTCTAAGTCCAATTTTTTTGGAATGTATCTTGGACTTCTAGCGAGGACGGCCTGTATCTAAGTACTTCACAACCTGTAATGTGTTTACCCTCTCACATGCTGTAAGGAATCAAACTTAGGCCCTATAAGTGCTGAGCCCTTATCACTGGATTGTCCTTGCTTAGAGGGGTCCCTTACAACTTGATTTTGCAGCAGAGCATTTCATTGGATACTGCAGTTGTGCCTCCTTCCCCCAAATTATACTTCAGTTGAACCTCTCTAGTCTGGCACCCTCAGGATCTAACCGGTGCCGAACCAGAGAATTTGCCAAACCACAGGAGGTCGATATTGTCTAGCAACATTTCCAACACTTCCACTCCTTCCTGGGCTCTGAGAAGACATGTTGGGGTAAGTTAGAGCTAAATACCAGCACAGAACACTGAGGCTGTGTCTAGACTGGCAAGTTTTTCCACAAAATCATCTGATTTTGCGGAAAAACTTGCCAGCTGTCTACACTGGCCGCTTGAATTTCCGGAAAAGCACTGACGATCTCCTGTAAAATCATCAGTGCTTTTCCGGAAATACTATGCTGCTCCTGTTCGGGCAAAAGTCTTTTTCCGAAAGACTTTTGCGCAAAAGGGCCAGTGTAGACAGCACAGTACTGTTTTCCGCAGAAAAGCCCTGATCGCGAAAATGGCGATCGGGGCTTTTTTGCGGAAAACCGCGTCTAGATTGGCCACGGGCGCTTTTCTGCAAAAAGTGCTTTTGCAGAAAAGCATCCTGCCAATCTAGACGTGCTTTTCCGAAAATGCTTTTAACGGAAAACTTTTCTGTTAAAATCATTTTCGGAAAATCATGCCAGTGTAGACGTAGCCTGAGAGCCAGGACTAGTTGCTTAAACAAACTTTATGGGACCCCAGGAAACTTGGCCGCACCCATGCTAAGTAGACACCCAGCTAACTAACATCAAGCTGGATTACGGATGTTGCCGGACTAGAGAGGCTCAACCTGTACCACATATTTCCTCTGGCTGTTTTTATCGCATGGCTCTAATGCTTCGAACTCTCCCAGCTAAAATTCAATCACTCTAGAGTAAGAGAATTTAATAAGGAACAAGATACGCTGCAGAGATATCTGTGTAGACCCCAGTCAGAGACTGTCTCGGCCCTTGAACTATGGACTTACTGCTGGGGGGCCGTATGGTTGGTGCCTGGCCTGTTCTGTGAGCTCTTCCCCTGCGCAGATGGTGCAGCTCATGCCCAGAGCCCAGGAAAAACCTTTTCTGGGTTGCGCTCCCCAGGCTGCTTTCTGTCCCCTCAGCATGGCTGCTGTGCCACAGCCTAGCGAGAAGACCCCAGGGCTGCGTGAGAGAGGGAGAGCTGGGGAAATGTTAATGTGCTCCCATGTGCAGAGATGAGGGGATGAGATCTGGAGTCCTCCTGCCCCACTAAGTCCAGCTGCAGCTGGGCTTGGGAAAGTGGATCATGGCTGAGTGTGAGCTCTGGCTCAGGGGAGCAGCTTAAGCGGGGGTCTGAGAGCATAGCCCTGCATGGCCTCAGCTGAGAGACCCAGGCCTGTGTAGCAAACTCAGACCTGTGTTTGGTCCTGCTAGTCAAAAGGGACAGCGCTGGTCTGTGAGCAACAGCTGCTCGTATTACACAGTTGAGTTGTACAACACAATTGATGTTCCCCATCCCAGGCTGCTTTTGGGCCACACACGCAGACACACACACACACTTACTTTTTAACATGGCACTCAGGAGGTCTCCTTTTTCCAGGCTGGTAACCCTTGGAGTCAGGCCAGCCAACCCCAACTGGAGGGGACCTCATTGCATCCCCTGCTGTGCTGAAGGTTAAATTTAAATCCATAGCATCCAGTTCCGCTCTCATTTACACAGGCGCCGATGCAGCTGTCAGAAGAATTTGCCTCTTATTTTCTCAGTCTGTTCTTAAATTAAACTTCCTTTCTCAATGTTGAAGATTTAAGAACGTTTCTCTTATTGTGCGTCCCTCAGATATGAGGATTTGTCAGTTGAATTGGTTTAGTGTCAAGTTGCAGGTGTTTGGGTGATGCCGTCTGTAGGCCTGGGCAGAGGCTGCTCTGCAAACCACTGTAAACTGAACATACTGATCCAAATAATAGACACCAAGCACCTTAAATGGCTTTTTTTCCCTTAACCGAGCCTTTGATCTTGCAGACAGATCAGTGTGGGTGCAGGGCACAGGTCTGTGTGCCTAGCACGTGTCTCTCTAGTGCCTTCCTCCCATCTCAGCTGAGGTTTCTTGGTGCGGCTGTCACGCATACAAGGGTCTGCCCATGCAGAGCTGATTGCAGGACTGGGGCCAGAGTCCAAAAGGATCAGAAGCTCCTCTGGGATCATTGTGGAGTCAGAAAACATCTGAAAGCTGATGTAAAACATTGGGTGTGAAACAGCCCTGTTTGGGGGTGTGATGTGCACGTCACATTTCCGCCCAATGAAACTTACGCTGTGCAGAGATGTAACTCCCCCAGTTGGCTTCCTAAGGCACACCTCACTAAACCCTGAACTATCTCAGCTGGACTGTGACCCAGTTGGAGCAAAGGTCCCAGCCCAGGAAGCAACGAGGGGCCTGTTGCAGGTGAGAGCTCTTGAGCTGTATCTCTTGTCCCTGACTGCCAGCTGAGAAGATGACCCGTATTCAGCTCACTTTCCGTCCTTGCAAACCGGTTCTGGGATGGGAGGTAGAACCCTGGCATCT